AGTGATCCTTTGCAATACCAGTAAGCTTTTGCAATCCCAGTGATCCTTTGCAATCCCAGTGATCCTTTGCAATCCCAGTAAGCTTTCACAATCCCAGTGTTCATTGCAATACCAGTAAGCTTTCACAATCCCAATGATCCTTTGCAATACCAGTAAGCTTCAACAATCCCAGTGATCCTTTGCAATCCCAGGAAGTTTTGGATTCCCAGTGATCCTTTGCAAATCCAATGAGTGTCTATAATCTTAGAGCTTTTGCAATCATTGTAGTGTTGGTTGAAGGATTAGTAGTCTGTCAGAATTCTACATTGTCTTTAATTTTTCCTTAGACAACTTTGAAAAGCATGGAAGGCATGGACAAGCCACTTACAATCTTGCTGAGGTAAAATAAACAAAATTGTATGGTAAAATTATACTGTCATGCATTGATCAACAAGATTTTTTTGTAAAGCTGTTTTTCACCAGTAAAAAAAAGTAAAAAAAAAAAAACAGAATTAACTATGAAAACCAATGGAACTGGTTTCACTTGCACATGTTCACAGTCATAAGCATATCAATAAGGAATGATCAAGTTTGTTTTTTTGTGTCTCTGTTTGTGCTATGTTGATGTCAAGTGAAAACTACTGTAGTCTTTCACGATCAATCTTGTGCTTATGTTGATGAAAAAACAGCCATTATAGCACTCATATCAATCATGTCCAAGCCAGTAATAATCATGTCTAATTATACTTTGATTACTTGCAGTTTTTGGTGGAGAACATGGTCCTCTAAGCACTTCATTTTACTGACCTCATGGTAACCTTACATTTTATTCTTATCCTTACATACTAGTGCAGTTGTTTACCAATTTACATCCATTGCATCTCAGGCTAAACCTGTTCAACAGGTTTAACCTGTTGGCTACATATAATGGGGCTGTATAAATGTTGTGGAGGGTCTTTTATTTTTGTTTCATTTGTGATTAGAAGTTAAGAAAACAGGGTGAAAATTATTAGCCCCACAATTAAAAAAAATAACAATATCTCTTTCTCTTTATTTCCATTGCTGTTTTTGTTAATTATTAGCTATTCTTATTGTATTTGTAATGTTTGTAACACTTGAAGAGTATTAATTTTAAGTGCAATAGCACAAACAAGTTGTTGTTTGTATTTTGCGAATCATGTTCTTCAAGTTCATGTAAAAAAAGGGCGGGAATCTCATTGAATAACCTGAAGGTAATCAACATCAACCCTAACAAGAAATAATTGTGGAGAGCCTCTGATAACAGCGAAGTCTGAATACAGACACTACAGCAGAGTCACATGAACCATGAAATAAAAGCTAAAAAGTACTAACTAATAGGGACTATTAGTTCCTAATAGTCGTTAGCACTGAACCAGAGCAGTATATTTGATCCAATAAACAATACGAAAGAGACTGCTAATCACAATCAAAATAAAAAAATCTCTTTGTACTGTTCTGGTTCAGTGACAGTGTCTAAATAGTGCCTATTAGTTACTAAGTATTTAGTTTCTATTTCATGGTTCAAGTTACTCTGCTCTAAGTACTACATGATAAACATATTTTATTAAAATTTCACTTGAACATGAAAAAGAAATGCTCAAAACACAGAAGAATAAACTTCATAAACAAAGATCATTATTCAATAATAATGTGATTGTGTTTTTGATCACGTTTTTCAAAATACTCATGATGGGTTCTCTTGTATTTCAGATGGTTGAATCATTAATCCTAATGTAACGTCTTCAACACCAAGAAAAAGAGCCTTGGAAACTATAAAATTAATAAGTAAACTACTAGTTCCTTCTCGTGGATTCTAAATTATTGACAGTTAACACTATAGGAAAATATTCACCAATTTTCTACCTTACACAGCTGTTTCAATAAAGGTTGTCGGAGAGAAACATTGAATGACTTTAAGGGAACAATTAACTTGTTTTCTTTCTCTTTTGTCAATCTTTCTTGCAAGAGCTGTATGTGGTTTATGCTCTAGACATAATCTATTTTCATTCAATAATTTTTAATTCATAATATTATCTTATATCCCAGAAAAAATAATTCAGAATTGGTGCAAGAACTTTGTGTCTGTGAAGTGTGACATTGGAAACTTTTTTTGACCTTTTAGTTTAACGTCAAACCTTTTTAATTCAAAAATTATTGAGTGAAAATACTATTAGTGCTTGAGTGGTTCACAGTTATTCCTTTTATAGTAGCTTGTTAATGTCGTTTTTTAAAGTAATTCAGTCCTTATTAAAAGATAATAAAAACATTGGACAGTCAATTGAATCTCCTTTTGTTTATTTGTTTTAAAGAATATAGTTATTCTTTGAACTTGTTTTATGTAGTAATGTTAAGGGACAAAAAAAAACTTTAAAATCAAAGGTTCAAACTAAATAATTATTTTATCAACCTCAAAATTGATAATCTACTTCTTATTTTTCCGTTTGCTCTAAAAACAGATAAATACAATCCCTTCCCTTATTTTGGTAACAAAATATTAAGTTTTTTGGGGTTCAAAATCATTTATATAATAGTATTTCATTTCCTTTTAATCTTGTTTGATTTTCATAACAGTATACTATTAATTTCCTTTTCAATGTTCTGTGAAAGAGCAGCCAAAGGCAACAGCTGGTTTTCTTGTTTCCTTCAGTTATTCCTTGTTTTAAGTGAGAACCTATCATGAGAATCATGTCTGGGTGTAGACTTTACTAATTAAAAACTGATTTTACTAAATATAGTGAAAAGATTATACTATTGTATTTAAATAAGTTTATTTGTAAAGTCTTGATATTTTACAATTTCGTTTGACTGAGTTCACAACAAACTGCTTACTATACAACATGTATTGTGAGACTCTGAACTGTTACAGTACATTCACTAAAAAGAGGCCTTTACCATGCATTATATTCACAGAAAAATTACAGCAGTAGACTTGTGGTCTTACAATGCTGTAGCTTGCAAAATTCCACTAAAGTCCAATGTCACCCGTACCATTCCCAATAAACAATGAGTTTTAAAATCGGTGTAAGAAAATGCCAAGGATGTCTTCAATGGGCTGTTACTTAAAAAAGTATGTTCTTGCTTTTATTGAGCTACAATCTGGTCTAAGTTATTCTTTAGAAGTTTGATGTAAATACACTAGAGTTTTAGGGTAAAATAATCTAAAGTATGTAGAAATATCCATTTGAATTAGCTACTCATGAGCTAGAGGTACAAGTTGCTTCATGTTTGCCTGCATAATGCTGTTCAACTTCCAATTTAGTATTAATCTAAAACTGTCACTAGCCTGTTAAAACTTGAAATCCTTGTACTTCTTAGCAGCTTTTCCACTATCTGTTGCTTTCTTTCGTTTCTGCAAATACAAAATAAACAATAAATCCAAGAGCTTTCAATTCACAACTTGATTGAACATTAACTGACTCACCTTTTGTCTTGCTGCGTGTTCTGCAACCATGTCACTGAAATCTTCTTTTACAAATTCCCTCTCTTTGATTTGCTCATCATATCTTGGATTGGAGGAAAAAACTGTTATTAAACATCTAAATCAGGGTGTCTACCCCTCATAGATTAATTAATATTCTATGGAAAAATGACTGTAAAAACTATGTAATTGATGATAGAGTATCATGAAGTTAAAATCAATATGTTCTATGATCCTAGTGGCACACAGGATTGATGACCTATAAGTGAATTGAATTGATAAAATGAACACAGGAAGCCCAAAAATAACAAAACGTTATCAAACATTGTGAGAACTCTTGTTTTCTTAACAACCTCTCTCTTGAAAAAATCTTGGAACTCTTCCATATATACCTGGTGTACTTTTAGTAAATGCATGAAAAATCAGTGTGATTTTAGAGTGCAACTTCTTGGACTTCCTGTGCCATTCTCAAATGCGACCAAATACATAGAAACATAGATACTGTACATAGATTGATTGGCAAAAAGGAATAACTACTGATTCTGTAGAATAAAGGGAAATTCCTCCTAGTGCTAATGCACTTTAGTTCAGCAAGGGGTTAAAATATAAGGCTTCCTTGAAATGACATTTTGGCAACAAAGAGAAATGGCTTCTTATTAAAGACAAAATATTAATAATATTGATACAAGGGCACAGAACCATTACCTTGCTTGCATTGCAGCAGGATCCAGTTCCAGTTCACTGGGATCAAGAGCAACATCGACTCCTTCACCTCCAGCAGCCTATTGATATACCATGTAGCGACATTAGTATCATTTAAGATAAAGCAATAGTATTTTATTAGTATTCGTTGGTAAAGAACAAAAGGTAGATTCAGAGTGTTTAACAACTAATAGTCTTATGTGATCTTAATGACTATTAATCTAAATTACCAAGAATATTAGGTTGTTTTTACCTTTTTCGTTGTGGCCGGTGCAGCCTGAATAACAAAAATGAATTTAGTTTGTATTTTTACTTGAACTGAGCAGTCTCAAACTGAACAACAATAAATTATTGCACAGACAGACAGACAAAAGTTGACAGCCAGCAGACCTACCCCTGTTATATCATAGACGTGTGCCGAACCCATCATAGCAGCTCCTACATTGATTCTTTTCTCTGGTAACATAGTGTACAATGAAGGCTGTTCTGAGCCTGCCTCCATGGCTTCTTCTATAGATTTCTTCTTTCTTAATTCAATCATATCCGGTGTCTCCATACCCGCAGGAATGGACGTAAGACCACTTGGTGTAACCAAACCCCTGGATTGATATCAGATACACAATGATTTAATAAATTGGATTATGTACATGGGTGATTTCAAACTAGGAAAACATTATTTAGTTTTCTTCAAACATTGTCATCTTTAACTATCAATAAATGCCTCCATTGACTAGGAATTTGTCTTTTAGAGTTTGCTTTCCAAGGACACCAATAATTCAAAACAGTTTTATTGCAGTTCTGAAATATTTGTTTCTGTGTCTGCTGAAATAATACAGTAGTTAAAAACACTTGAACCAATGAGCCACACAAAGAATATTAATGTAAACAGTCCAGTAATACAAGATTTTGGGTATTTATTGATTTTTGGATATACAATGTTAGCAGGATTTCTCCAAAAAGATGCCTCCATGGGTGAGATGAATGAAATAGAATAAATCTATTATAGTTATTATTAAATTCACAACATGCTCTACTCACGTTGCTGCAGGAGTGATCAATCCCGTTGTATCTTCTTCCTCTTCTTCTGACTCCTGAAAAAAATATAATAATAATAATTTGAACAACAAGGTTAGGGAAATGTTACAATAATTAATGTAACCTTAAGGCTGAGCGTCAGGGGGAGCAGTGCACCCCCTATTGGTAGAGTCCTGCTTAAATACATATTCAAATAAAAGTCCTACTTACATACTGTAAATATACAAATACAATAGACCAAAATGTGCCCCTCCCTCCCCCACTTGGATCTGCCATTGACCTTATTGTCAAAATAGTGCACTACAAACCTCTGATTCTTCCTCAGACTCTTCCTCTGATTCCACCTCACCCCAGTATCTCCTTAGCACACCATCCTCTTCCTCCTCGTGATGAATATCATGTGAAAGAACACCAAACACGTCTCCATATAGTGGACGTCCTGTTTCATCAACAGGTGGCTTACCCCACCCACCAGCGTGGTACCCAAATGATGCCCCTTCTGGTATGGGTGCATTTAAACCAGGTATTTTGAGGTTTGGATACGAGGGTGGAGGGCCATAACGCTGCATGGCTATTAACCAGGGAGGTGGGACTGTGTGGCTTCCCTGCGTGGAAACAAAATTAACAGTGAATGATACTATATTGCATTTTATAAAATTTTTGATATATAACGCACGCTCTGATTGGCTGACGACCGTGTTTATATCAGAGGACAGAGACACGGCTTACCGGCAAAATTTTCTTTTAGCTCGAAAAATTTTATAAAAGAAATATAAAACGGCCGCTTGTGTCTCTGTCTTCTGATATAAACATGGTGGGAGTTGAAAAACACTCTAGAAGCAAGAGAAACACTCACTACGCTCGTGTTCCTAAGCTTGCTTCTCTCGTGTTTTTCGAACTCCCACCGTGTTTATATCAGAGGACAGAGACATGCGCGCCGTTTTATATTTCTTAATCATAAAAACCCCTTTAAATTAGTCCAGCCAAAGAAGTCCCCTTTTGAATATGTCCCTAAATTAAATACTGCATTCATAAGGATTCCTTTGAAACATATCCCTCCAAACTTAGTCCTATTGAAAACAGCTCCCTACAAGTGTCCGCTCCTACAATGAAAGGGCTTGCAAACTAAAGGAACCCATTCAAAAGAACTGCTATTGATGGGGAACATCCACAAAACATCCACGATAAAGTAAATAATATTCCTTTGTATGTGTAACAAGGTGTCACATGATCCATCATTACCTGTCCAGTTGGCATACCAAGTGCTGCTTTCAAATCATCTGACAGATCACCAGGCTTTTTTTCTTTAAGTTTTGTCTCAAACTCTTTTCCCTGTAAGAAAAACAAGGGAATAAGATGTTGGAACATATGAATCAAAAGCAGTGTAAGTCAGGTATGAACAAAAATAATACAGATGGATGGACAGACAGACAGACTTCTGACTGAATAATAAACTTAGTTCATTTACAAAGTCATTCAAAAAACCTACAAACAAGGAATCATGGGTGCTACTTACTTCATAATAGAGATCCCCATGTATAGTTAGTTTGGGTTTGGTTTGCCATCTGAAAAAAATTACAATGCTTTATTTCATAGAAAACAAGCTAATATCAAAACCAATATTGTTTGGACTTGTTGCAAGTACATGTAAAGGTAAAGGTTGCGTCTTGTAAAGTTTTTTATGTAAAAAGGAAATAACCAAAAGCAAAACAAAAATGCTGTTCTAATGTAAGTCATTTTTAATGTAAAAGTCTCTCAAGTGCATTAGTACTCTCAACTAATAAATGGTTATAATATAATAAAATTACCAAAAACGTGTAATGTTATTGAAATGCACTTAATTAATAAGACACATCACACTTTATTATTCTGACTATTTTGTGCATGTTCTTCTTTGCCTTTTTGTTGCATAACATACATGTACACTTACATCTTGACCACAATTTGATGAGTCTATTTAAACAACTTTAATTGCTATATTATCACTAAAAACTGTTCTGATTTATTTTAGTTTTCAAAAGATACTAACTTGAAGAAAGCATCATGCATTTTCTTGTAGTCAATGTTGATTTTCCCCATCTTGGGCCGAATCTAGAATTGAAGAAGAGTACATGGAGAAAATATTACTTTGAAGTTGCTACATCTCAGCTACATCTCTAGCTGCAGGCTATCAACCGAATAATAGAAGGTAGCAAACTACCTTCACATAATATTATAACTACCTTTTCTCTCATTTTTGCTTTAAGACCCTTTTGATCTTCCTATAAGCAGAGGCAAAAACAAAAAACATGAGCTATAAAACAATTTATTATTAATTAAAAAAAAACATTTTTTCAAATACTTTTACTTATGATTACATATCTAAGCCACAAGCAAAGTATTTCTAATTACTGTATTTTCCATAATATCATTTCATTGTTAATACAGCCAACAATGAAGTTTGATACATTGTGATTCCATACCTTCTCTTGCATGGCTTCTCTCATCTCCATGATTCCAGTTTTCTACAAGAATTTGAAAATGCTATATCAGTACAAGACTATAATATCAAAATCTTTAATCTTCGATTGGCTGCGCTCTGATAGAAACTCTACAATAAAGGGTACAAACCTTAATAAACTCAGGAAGCTCATAAGGAGGCTTGACAATACCACGTTTACCCTGAAATGATATTACAGAATATTGATCTCATTAGTGTTGCGAAGTTGCAAAGAACTGCAAAGTAGAGTGCTTCCAGTAAAAGGGTGAAACACTAATTACTTGAAATTGTGAAAAAATAGTGCTATTTAACAAAATAAAACAAACAAATTAGCATAAAATACAAAATAGCATTACTAATGTTTCACACTTTTACTGAATGCGCTATAATAACATAAAACTATATATTCACCAGTAAGAAATATTTAATTTAGTATTTTATATGTTCAGGCGATGTAAGCTGTAAGAAGAACTTACTATCTTCTCACAGGTAGAAAAGCCTGATTTTTATCCCACTTTTCTACACCACTTCCTAAGATTAACAACTTAGAAAGAGGGACTTTAAGTGGATAAGAACAGTAGACAAAAAATGGGTGACTAATCAGCACTTAAAAGAGCTATCTCCACTTGAAAATTCTACACTTAGAACCCAGTTTTAAAATAATTTTTTTTTTGAAGGTTTGCACCTTGTAAATTGGACATTTTGATTTGAACACTTATCARATACATGAACTCTGCATAAAATTCTTTATGATATAACTCTTACCTGTAGATATTTTCTTTTAAAACACCAGTGCCTTGGTACTGGAACTGAATTCCTAACAGACTGAAAAAATACACAAATACTTCAGTAAAAAGCACTTTTTGACACTAAAACTTTGTACTTCATTAAAAGATAATAATTAATACACCATTACACTAGAGTGATGTCTATTGACTCATGAAAGAAAGCGCTATTGGTAATAGTCAATTAAAATTGCAATAATTTGTACAACATAAAGACAATATGAAAAACATGAAATATAGAGTAATACAGTGTAGTGTGCTATCAATATATTTATGAATAATTAGATAATGTATTGACACTGTAATCTGCAAAGTCAAGGTTTTGTATAGACAGTGCAGGAATGAGTAATGTCAACTACAGCAAGATATGCTCTTCCCTCTCATTGGGACTGCCACTGAATAATATCAACAATGACAATTAGGAATGAGAGGAAATATGAGATATTACGAGGAGTGCAAACATATTTATAATAATTATTATAATAAATGTGTAATAATAATTATTATTGTATAGTACCTTAAGGAAGATAAGGAACTTTGGATCAGGTGCATTTACATCATGCATTTCCACAAGATCTGGCCTATCAACCAACTGTAAAAAAATAATAAAATGAAAGTGAATAAAAGGATGGATGGATGGTCAGCCAGGATCCTTCACAAGCTTTTGCTTATGTTTGAAAATAAAAATTTGTTGTAATCTAGGCAAAAATGTACTCTCTATTATCCTTTTATACTCTATGAATGGAGATATTGTAAGATTTGATCTTAAAACTGATGGATGAATCCAGATTGCATATCGATATTTGAAGTCACCTCATTTTCAATGTAACAAAAGCACTTAACGGCATTGAATACTGGTTAACAGTGGTCCCGGGCAAAAGGAGATACTGCATAGTTCAATGGGTTGATAAACATTGAATTTTATGAATGAATTAAGCAATTCATAAGATGAATTCTAGTAATTGAAGCAAAAGAACACAACAAGGTAAACAAATAAATAATAAAAGCTTGAATGTCACTTACTAATTTTAGCTGTGCTACTGAAAGTCTCTTCATCTTCTTCAGTTTTTTCTTAGAAAGTTTGGGCTCACCCGAGTCTGGAGGTTTCTTTATGGAAATAAATAATAAAATGTACCGGATGTCACGAGAAAAGAAATATTGTAAAGAGGTTTACAATATGGACTTGTAGTATGGTCAAGATTAACAATGTAATAAGTCAAAATGTACGGCAAGAAAGAAAACAATGGAATTACCAGCTTGGATGCATTTTGTAATTTTAATAATACAAAATAATATCTGTTATACCTCAATTTCTTCATCGTCTTCTAGCACAAGAGGATCTCTCTGATCCACCTTCTTAGGATCCGCCTGGAAAGAGACAAAATAAAAATCGGTGAAAATTGAAGAGCAATGACATTGATTGTAAAACTAATTATACAATAAAACAAGTAGTCAGTCTTATCATTATAATTAATAAAGCACTTATACCTGGTCATCTTTCTTTTCATCAGCTTTCTTTTGGTCTGCTGTTTCTTCTGGGGCTGAAATCTAACAAGAAATGACAAGATATGACGAGAAAGGTTTTAGTTGTTAGTGTTGTTAGTTCATGCCTCAAATTGTATTCACAATTCAATACACTTCAAGGTTTAAACCAATAAGTCAAAACCACTGAAACAGGCAGACCAACATATTTGGTCACTTGTTTTGACAGTGAAGATTTAAGTTAAGATGACCCAACAGTTCAAGTGTCCAGAATAACACCCATTGACCACTCTAGCTCATCAATTCAGAATAAAATAATCTCCATTTACTGTACTTGTCATGAAATACCTTGAATTTCTCAAATATCTGAGAGAATGTCCTGAAGTAAGGATTTGTAAGCTCCATGTCTTCAGTAACATACTCAATGTCTACTTTGTCTTCTTCATCTTCCAAGTCCATATCCTTTTCTTGCTATTAAATAATATTAATTGAAGAATCAGTCATATGGTGTAAAAACCGATAAGAGCTAATAATCAGGTTTTTTGTTTTGTTTTCTGTGAGAAACAAACTTCTAAGACAACTAAGTAATAATTATTATATATAATAACTAGACGATCAGCGATCGTTTACATGGGCTTCCTGTGGTATCACAATCAGCAAACGAAGAAGTCAATGACAATAGTTATTKTGGTAATCGAAGAATTGTATTATATTGAGCCCTAATAACGTTAATATTACTCAGACTAAAGCAAAAATATTTCTTTTAATGAAAAATAATAAAACAAGCAATGTACTTTATAGCATTAAGCATAATATTGTGAAAGAAGTAAGCATGTTTGACGAGCCATTCCGCGTAAACACAGGTCGATAGTCTTTCATGTTCTTCGCTTGAAATACTTCCAATCATTTCATTTTCCTCAGTATAACCCTGTTGGGATTCCTTAGATAGTCTTTTGTGATTGCAGAGCCGTATATAATTCGCTTAAATTCACGATAAATTCACGGTATCCTAGCCTGTGTACATCCGTTTCTCACCCCTCAAAAAATCTCTCCCCGATTTTTTGAGGGGTGAGAAACGGATGTACACAGGCTACGGTATCCCTACAAATGCCCTTTCGAAAAACGCTCGACATCATTTAGTGTTTCTGTACCGCGAATGACACGTGGATTTGTAAGAGATTTGAGCGTATTTBTAGTAGCTAGATCCGTGATTTCTATCTCTAAACGATCCTAAACTTTCCGAAATGAAGCACGAGGCAAGCTTAGAATCGTTGCTTWGRAACATGAAKGACAATAACACAATAGAAAAGGTCCCGGATATACCACTTTGAAGCATGTTGAAGGAAAGTCGTCGGTAATTTTAGACATGGTCTTCCACAGGAAGCCCATGTAATAACTATTATTACAGTAATTATTGCTGGTGGGTTCATGAAAACACAAAAACTGAAACTGAAAGGTCAGAGAAGTATTTTGTTTTTGTTTTTGCTTTTGTTTTTCTTTAACAATTCTGAATAAAGTTCTATTTATTTGCCATTGAATGTTCCCACCTCTTTTTGTTTTCCTTTTCGCTTCTTCTTCTTCTTTTTCTTCTTTTTAGTTTTTTGCTGAAAAATAGAAAATTAACTGAATTCATTTCTTCTGTTTGAACAACATTTATAGCATAATCAGTTGTACTAAGTTAAAATGAATAATAATTTCTTCTAAAAGAATTGAATAGTAATTGTTTAGCTTGTTGTGTTCTTTTGCTTCAGTTACTAAAATTTATCTTGTGAATTGCTTAATTCATTCATCAAATTCAAAGTTAAATGTTAAACATACAATGATAGATGATAGTGTATGTCCAACAGTCATCCCACTTAAATACAGAGGAAGAGCTACCTTTCAACATTGAACAAGAAACTAAAATTAGTTTATCTTGTTCAATGCAAAGGCACAACTCCTTCTCATAATGACACAGGGAACAGTGTATATATATTATGACAACATTTTCAGAATGTTTACCTGTGAAGTATCTGGAATATTTTCTTTCCCTTCAAATTCTTCAACCTGATCAAATTCTTCTTGACTTTCAACGGGCTGGTGCATCCTCTCTGGAGCAACAACATCTAGACTTGCTACGGGTTCCTTTGCTAACATTTCTAGTTTTTCTTCAGGTATTACTTGCTCAATATGTTGCTCAATGAAGGGTTGAGCTGCCTCGTCTTGACCTTCATTAGGAACACCCTTGTCAGCTTCTTGTGAAATTACTTCTTGTTCTTTATGAGGTTCTTGCTGTTGTTCAATTGCTTCTGGGATAGTTTCTTTCTCTCTATCTTGTATTAAATCTTTGTGAACCTCTTCTTTCTTTATTTCTGAAATAACTTCACTTGTAAGTGGCTCACTGTCAAGAGTCTTTGAAACAACTTCTTCATGACTTGTTTGCTTTGTGTACTCTTGAACGACAGGCTCTTGAATGATAGGATCTTGTATATCTTCATCTAATGAACAAGGTACCTCATCCATGCTAGTTTCTATTGTTGGTTTTACTTCTTGTTTGATGTTCTCAATAGGTTTTTCAGTAATGGTTGGTTCGCGTATTGATTCCTGTGCATCTTCTAGGGGTGACTTTTGCCCTTCAACGACGCTGTCAATCTCTTCAGAAACTGAAGATTGCTCACTGACAGTTGTGTCTTCACTCTCCTCTGGTACGGGTTCAGAAGCAATTTCAACTTCTTGGACTTTAGGAAGATTGGCTTCTTCTATGACAGGTTGTCCAACAACTGCATATTGTTGCTGACGAAGTTGCTGTTCTTGGGCAGCTTTGCTTTCTGGTAAATATGATAAAAATGAAACTCAGTAATGTGTAACCTCAGGGCAATCATAGACTGATGTACCTTGAAGAAGTAACTGCTGTTGTTGTTGCTGAAGTATAAATTGCTGTCTTAGCTGAGCTTGCTGAAAACAGTGAGAAAATAATTTCAAAAATGATAGAACACTTTATTTTGCTGCTGATGAGCTGCCATTCCTGACACAGTGTGCTAAACGCCAGTCACAAGAGTGGGTATTCTCTTTGCATACATTCAATATGACATCCATTTTGGAAAATAATTCTTATAGACTAAGAGTAAGATACAGTAATGGTAATAAACAGTTGTGTAAAAAGATTAATTTAGTACTGCAAAAAAATAGGTGAAACAACTTACTGACAGTTTAGGATGTTACTAGTAATCCTTCGTCAGAGTACATCCAAAATGTCAAGTTGTTTCACCTATTTTTTTACAGTGTTTAAATTTTTTTCTGCAACTGTTTCTTTAGAAACACCTACTCAGCTCACACACTAGTTTACCGCTAGTTCCCACTAAACTTGAGTAAAAAATGAGTCCTTTAATTATGGACACCAAAAAATTTATAGCGTGAAAAAATCACTATACTAGTAATACACTCTACATAAATTGTTTTTAATCTTACTCTGAATGTTTTGAAAGAAAACAATTGACAGAGAAACTGAAAGAAAGGCCAGAGTACTTAGAAGAGAACAAGCTTTTGAGGATGATAAAAGTTCACTTTTAAAACTATAAAGATTAAAAGTTTTCAAACGTTCAGGACTTGACATGATGAATAAAGAGAAAAGTCCAACCTGGCATAACAAAAATTCTTTACTCATTAAAAGAAACAAATATATTTACCTCAACATAATATTTGTGCAATCTTTCTATCAAGTCTGCCTTGAGACCTTCAAAACACATTCAAAGTTTAATAGAAACTGCATAGTTTTACATACATGTACGATTACATACAACAGCTCATGTATTGAATTTTTATACATGCATTTTTATACATGCTTTTATTATCAATTAAGATATTTTACAAAGGTTTTGCAAAACTTTAACATATTCACGACCATATGTGAGACCATGTGACATGCTTTCTTCGACAATCAAGAACTAAAATCTCAGAGTTTTATGCGCTTTACTACATCTTTCCCAGGTGATCTGCGACATCATTAGTCGATAAACTTACCTGAGGTTGTTAATCCAATCTCTTGAAGCTTTTGCTTCAGTTGAGGGACTTTGAATTTTCGAAGTTCCTCGACTGAATACTCAGCCATGTCCGCCATCTTGGATAACGCGCTGTTCATCAGACGTATTCGAGCCCAGTAATACCGTGAACATGAAAACGAGGGTAATTACACAGGTATACCAAATAAAGAAAGAAGGCAAAAAGGGCAAAATTTTATTAGAAATAACGCTTTTATTACTTTTAAAAAGGTATAAGTTTCAAATGGTTTTATTCGCATGAAATATTTGTTATAATTATTTCTAAAGCTTTACAAGATATAGTAAATAATAATGATAATAATTAAGACAATTAAAAGTCATATAAAAAAGATATACAAACTTAGAGCGATATATTAGGTAAAAACATATAATATGCTTATGCCATGTACTATTTCTATAAAATTTTAACATAAATTGTCAATAAGGTAAATTTGTGCGCCTATATTTGTTTTTATGTTGTATATAGAAAATGTCCGTGAGTATTTTATCTCAGCACTAGGAACGTGGTGGAAAGCCTATCTAATATTACAATTTGGCTTTATCTAATTTACTGGATTCGTCTCTTTTTTAGTCCGCTTTCATTTCAGTTTGCCCGACCCAGTCAACCAGAAGTACGTAAGTTCCGGTCAACCTAATTACCATATGTACTCGTGACGTTAGTTCAGCATGTTTTCCCGACTCAGTCAATCATTTACACTACGAGGTTTTGAATAATTAGCAGAGTAACTAAGTTCAAGTCTTTATTTCCTGTGCTGCCATGGACGAAGAAAATAAAACTTCTTGCTGCAGGCGTGTAAACACCGAACTTTAATGTTTGAAGCTGATTGGGTGATTTGACTGTTGACTCTAGTTATCATATCCATGATGTGTTCTTTGTCAGCATGGCTTTGAAACACATCCACGACAAACTTTAACAACCCACAGAAAGAGTTTTCTGTCGCCACTGGCTCGCACAAAGGAAGAGTGGCTTGACAAACCAAAAGGTTTGAATCTGCAGGTGAAAGAAGGTTTCTTTGCGGCTTCTTGGCTGTTTGAATTTCAACACTTGTTCCTTTTGCGCCCGCGTTAGTTGCAGAAGGTGTGCAGATGCTGTCGTTAGGTCGAGGGACTTGAATTGTTTGAATCAAAAACACTTTGGGTTTGTTCTTTAGAGAGGGGACCGTCAGGAAAAAATCAAGCAAAATATCAATATGGATGGCTTCCTCGTCTTCATGTCCCATAATCATTTCGTCTGATGTACTGTAACTTGCGGCGATTGCACAAATAAAGCAGTCAAACTCGGTGAAATCTTTCTCCGATGTTTCTTTGAGGACTTCAAACATTTCTGCTGTGTTCAGATCTTTGCGTAGAATCACTGGATCGAGGCCAAAGTCTTGAAGTACCTCGAAGTTTTCGCTGGTAAAGTCAGAAGGGTAGAGAGAGGAGTAATTGTTGATGATAAGCACATAACCATTGGTGATATTTCCAATAAGATCTGATTCTTGGCTCTCTTCAACAGAGATGCCAACATGATCATTCGTGTTGTGAGCCTCGACTGAAAAAAAAATCAAAATTTAGTGGAAATACGCAATTTTTCTTTATATTCTGTATTTTTATTTACCCCGCATCCAGACACCCTGAAACAGGGCTCTGCTATAAATATCGCACCTCAATTGTAATAAGAAATAAACAACAAATTTCACATCTTCATTAGCGTTAGATTTACTTATAGTATCATGTCGCGGCTGGATAGGGTATGAGCGCGTGCAAAACTGTAGTAGAAACAAGAAGGAAGACGGTATTGTTGCTCCTGTTATATTCATTTACCTTGTAAGGAGGAATATCTATCAAGAAATTGAATAGTATTGCCATCTCCTACGATTATTGTTTGTCCACCATAAATGTTAAGGCTTCCCATCCTTACATAATGTAACTAGTGCGGATCTGCGAACACTTGAACATGGTCTTAAATCTAAAGAAAGTGGGCGGTTATTTATTCACAGACAATGGACAGAAATTCCCGGATTGCCCCGAGTCGCAGTGTTACTATATACCTTCAAAACCTTCGGTAATTTATTCTTATGTAATGGTTATTCCTTTGATTTGATGTATGTACTTACGTCATCGATTTGGATTCAGCCAATCACAGGCTTTATATTGCCATGTTGCGTGGAAACATGATCTATATCCATCTACACAATGCTCGCCTCACTAGTTTAACGCTAAGCTTACGTAAATAGAACTTTCACGAAAGCATACACAATTTCGGTAATTTATGCTAATGCATACTGAGTGATTTGAAAAAATGCGAGTAGCCAATCAGCGCAAAGCTGACAAGCTTATGTTGTAAACATAACCCTCCGACGGGAGGAATATGCACAGCAAAACTCGACCCAGTGGAGTAGACTGCCTGTCATTTTATTCTATCCGAAAAATCGAAGATAAATCGCAAAGAGAAATTGAAAATCTTTATAAAATAGCTTTTAAATGTCAATCAAATATTTATCGTTATAGAAAGAGAATTTTATCTTAAAAATGAAAAACAAATAACTTTTTCTTTAATACCACGAGACTCCCCTCCCTGATAGAAATAATTGTTCTGTGTTCTACGCGGGTTCTCCATTGCATGCGAAGCAATGACCGACAGTCACGAAGACTTCAGAAGGTCGTTGAAGCGACGTTTCAAGTCCAATGTATCTTAGGAGGAACCATTGCAAATCATTTTTCTTAGCTCTTGTTTCATCT